GTACACGTGTACATAGGCGAAACAGCGAGAGAGTTGCGCAAACGAATTTCAGAGCACAGGAGGCGCGTTTCAAGACCACCAAGAAACGAGTCTGAATACCAGGCAATAGTAAGAAAATCTGCCGTGGTTGTGCATGCATTAGACACGGGTCACCAGGTTGACTTGCATAACGTAGAGGTCACTAGGAGGGGTATACGATCAAGGCCTCAGCGGTTGATTGCCGAAGCGATGGAAATTACCAAATCGGACAGCTGTGGGAATAGAATGGAGGGAGTAGAACTCTCTACTGCGTGGCTAGCGATCTTAACCCGACCAGTCTGACGATCGTCGGTGCGTGGGTCAGATTGAAAAGTGCAACTCTATTCCCATTGTCACCAATTTGGGCTCATTCACAATGCCATGACGCACAAAGGAACACCTGGACTATTCCTACTGTGATTGAACCACATGAGGGGACACCACGAGCTGTGATTGTAATGACACCTTGGCCTACAATCAGCATGTACAACGTGATCGCATAATATAGTTAATTATTCGTCTTTTGATCAATGGTTCCCATATGGATTTTTGAATTGATTAGCAGTTTGGAAAAACTAGAGAGATAAAGAAACTGGGAACAATAATAAATGTAGATTTCACGTTAAGTTCAAGTAAAGTAATACGGTCATCCTTGGAACTGTCCCCAGGGGACTTACTTCCATACAGGGTATTTCCATAACTTTTGGGCGTGGTAAATTCTTCATTCCAGAATCACAACAGCGGAATAACTGTGGAAAGAGGAAACATTTGCGTTGGTTGAAAACATGAATATCAACAGCAACCAAGAATGCATGTTTAAGCGTTTAACCGTACTTTCATTGCGCTGAACCGAAGATTTTTCGTCCAATAACCAGAAAAATCTAGTGTGTATTGCTTGCTTTATGATAAAACGCACTTTAGACCATCTGTTTTTGCTACGTATATAAGGAAAAACTTCAGAATTAAATGTAAAAAACTACAATTTTACCTTCTAAGAAATGGTTGCCTCCTGCGGAAACATTTCCCTTGGGTCTGAGGTTGGTAATGAAAGCAAACATACAATGTGAAAACATGACAGCTGTACGCACGGACGCCGCGGCTTTTTGAATCACCGTGTGCTGGATACTACTTTCGCTTCGGATTACTGTGTTATAATTGTTCTGTGTGCGTTATGCACCAATATTCTTCTTTGGGTGCATTTTCTAATCGGTGCAAATTTGGTGGATATTCTTTAGTTAATTCCGGAGACCTCATTGATTGGCTCTACTACCATCTGTGCCCGCCATCTTGAATTTGCCCTATCTTGTGATGCCGTCTTAAGCTACTTGTGGTTCGTGTTCGAAATTTGTTGGACATAAGGCTCATGCACTTCGGTGCTTCGGTTGAGATGTTTTGTTCCATGTTTCTTGCATTGGCTTATCCGCTGACGTGTTTCAAAAATCTCTGGACATCCGACATCGGTTTTTCCAAGTTATATATGATAGATGTCGCGGTGCAAGACATTCGAATTCACAGTGACCGCCAACAATTACGGGAAATCTCTCTTCCAGGCAGAAACAAACCGTTCACCACGTGGGGTCAAACGCGCTCCTGAAAATACCTCTGTCACCTCGCCTTCTCTTGTCAATCCGCGATCTACACCACCACCAGCGTCTTCGATCCCGGCTGTGCCTCAAGTTCACTGGTCCCCACCGATTGAAGACTCGGACTCGGAACTTACGAAGTGCCGCTTCACTGATCGGTTCGTGAATTTCTCACAGCCTGTCTGTGAACCTCTGAACACGGAGGATCCATCTACCACTCAAAAGCGAAAAGGGCCACGTAATCGAGTTCAGGGGTCTGCTGCTGATAAACAACAACCCAAACCAATAAGCGCCGCTAGTCATTCTCCCGAGTTCGTTGAAGAGTCATGATCGCATGGTCTTTCGTGTATCAGAGTCAAAAGATGCAAACCCTCAGATACTTTATGATCACGATGTTGAACTCCTCCAGGGACTCATCCATGGACTCTTGGATGTGGGTGAAGATGGTGTGACGAGTAATTAAGTAATCCGACTTGACTAGAGAACTAATCAGTCATGAAGAGCTCTGAGAATCACCTTTGTAATCACAATATACCGCAGCTCATACTGTCTCGTTTGTCAAGTCTGAAAGCCAGAAAGATTCACATCCGCCGAGACTTGGAATCCGAAGACATGGATCGTTTGAAGACTGTGGTCATTGAGCTCAAACGCCGTACAGAAGAAAGTGAGACTGACTTACAAATTGTAAATTTTCGCGTGATCAAGAAGCGTGTACGAACCCGTATCAACCGGTTGCTCAACCTCCAGGCACGTCCCGCAGTACCTCCCAGGACCTCCGTGTCGCATTCGTCAACGTGTGCAGCCTAATGAACAAACGTGACGAGCTGTGCCGCTTCGCTATCTCCGACGTCATACCGCACGAAGTCACCTTGTCAGGATACTCTTGTTTCCCATGCGACCGTAGATCAAAGCTCATGGTGGTGTTCTGTTGTACATAAAATCGTCACTATCTGGCAAACTTACCACCACCTGTCGGAGCGAGGATAACTTATGTGAGCAATTGTGGGGCATAATCCGCTTTAAACGCGCATAACTTATAATGGGTGTTATCTACCGTAGCCTATTTAACCGTTGTTGCGATTGGCTACCACATATACAGAAGCACATGAGCCGCCCTGAGTTCTTACTGATGTGGGATCTAAATTTACGTAAGATATTCCGACCAGACGTTCGGCTTCATGCCGGTCATGGCGACGTTGGGGTTCAGTTCGCTAAAATGACTACTGAAAACGGGGCAACACAACATGTCATCCAACCGACGCGCGTAACTCCGCACTCGGCATCTTGTTTGGACCTAATGTTTACGAGCTGCGAGCAGAAGCTGAAAGAGACCGGAGTCCTCGAACCTCTGTCGAACAGTGACCACTGCTCCATTGTGGCAAGCATAGAAATACCGTTACCGTATTACAACCAACGGAAGCCGACATTCAACGGGCTCGTCCAAGAAGCAAGTCAGACTGATTGGACACTACCACAGGATGCGTCGCTTGAGGCCTGTTGGTCATTAATGAAGGGGAACCTTAACTCGTTGTGTACTCGGTTCGTTCTCCTTAAGTATTCAAAATTCGGACCTGTCAAACCGCATTGGTTCGATACGGAATATAGACAGTTAGCACGACGGCGTCGCAAACTTTGGGATAGATATATCAACTCGGATTGTGATGAAGATTACACGGTGTACAAGAAACAGCGTAACTTATGTAACGCCGCAAAGATCAAGAAACGTCGTATTTCGAAGAGGAGCTAGCATCCAGGGCCACAACTGCACCCAAAAGGATATTTGCCTACTTGAAACGTCAACTGAAACCTGGGGCGACCTACCGGTCTTAGAGAGCTTTGACGGACAAACGCTGATTTCAAGCACGGAGCGCGCGGACGCCTTGGCTACGCACTCACGCTCACCGTATTTTCCAGTAAACCGGCGGCTGTTCCAGTACCGGCACAAGTTGCGCCAGTGTTGCTCGACAGCGTACAATGTGATGCAGTCGAAGTGTATTAGCTACTGGTAAAGCTCGATGGTGCAAAGCCCACCGGATCAGACGGACTTCACCCACTAATACTCAAGTCGCTGTCGTATGTCATCTCTCCAGCAATGACAAAGCCGTTCAATAAATCGTTCTCTGAAGGATCTGCCCAAACGACTGGAAATGCTCGATAGTGAGACCGCTTCCCAAGGCTGGTGATCCGAGTAAATAGAGATATGTAGAGTAACCTGTTTAACTTCGATATTATCAAAGTTTCTCGCGAAGTTATGAAAAATTAACTTCTGGCGTTCTTCGAATCGATGTAGTGACGCCAGCGCAACCCGACCTTACGAAAGGACGATCCGTTATCACCCACTTGATGTACGCAAACCACCAGTGGGTACAAGCTCTTAACGATCCGGAGGTTGTTGACGGGGTGTACTTTGACTTCAGTAAGGCTTTTGTCAGACTGAACCACGAGGTGCTCCTTCGTAAACTGAGGACCTACGGAATGGGTGATACGCTACTTCAGTGGTTACACGAGTTTATTGTGGGACGAAGGTTTAGATTACCGGTAAATGACTACCTGACAGACTGATTCCCGTGGACCAGTGGCGTGCCTCAAGGAACTGTACTTGGGTCAGTAGTATCGCCTATTCATATCAACGATCTCCCGTAGTAGTCCCAGTCTTCGTGTGCTCTGTTTACAGATGATTTACAGATCTAGAGGATCACTGAAAACCAGTACGACTGCGCTCGCCTCCGGCATGATATAGATCAACTGTCAAGATGGTCCACCGAAATGCAACGCTCTCTTAACGCAAGCAAGTAGGAGTTCATCAGTACCACCAGACGTTCAGCCACTCGACTATACACATTGGACGGCCAGTTGCTCCACCCTAGCACATTTGTCAGAGACTTAGGAGTGCTCTCGCGACATGATATGAGATCACTAGCACATACAGAGCAATTGTACCTTGCGGGCCTTCGGATGTTCTGGGAATTACGGCGCAGTTACTCCACGTGGTCCGAAGGAACCGTTCCTTGTCTATTCACCTGGCTCATTAGACAAATTCTTGAATACGGCGCCCCAGCTTACCATCCGATAACCCAGTGGGAAACTAAAAAGCTGGGGAAAATACAGCTTATCGCAACTAGAATGAAACCCAGTCTGCGGAAGCTTCCGTTTGAAAAACGTGAAATGTTTGGACTCTACACACTATCCTACCGCCGAGTAAGAATTGACCTTATTATGACCCATAGAGTACTGCACATGGATCACTTCCCTATACTGCAGCCAATATTTCCCCTGAGGGAACCCGAGGACACCGTTACAAACTTAGGGTCCCCTGCATCTACAAGGTTTCACATCAGAATTGTATAAAACGAAGAATCGTAAAGCGGTGGAATACGCAACCAGAAGGACTAATAGATCCAGTGAGGTGTCATAAAACATGTATCGACGATTATTTGGGATGCCTGTGCTTTTGTGAAACGATGCATATACAATGCCAAAAGAAGACATAGTATGCCCGCAAACAGTGACATCAATACGAATATCTAACCGAATAGGAACAACGCTTAACTGACCAAACATTACCACTGGTCATTCGCAATTGAATGTTTTTGCTTTTTCATAATTCTATAGAGCTGTACAGTAACTTTCTATTTGCTCATGAATACAGTCTCAGTCTCAGTAGAGAGACGTTCTTTCCGAGTTTTCTAACAGTTGGGGCGATACCATCTGGACCTGGACGGGTTGATAGTTTTATGCATGCGATGTCGCTTTACGTCACAGGGATATTACAGCATAGCTCATTCGTTCTTTTTGGAAGTGAAGGATGCATAAACTGTGTGGTGGGGATAAAACAGGAGGCAAAACTAGAGTTGCTAGCCTCGCATATGTAGGAGATGTCGCGCCTTATTGAATCATCGTCGAGAGCCGTTTCAATTCCCTGTTGGGGCTTAGGGTTCCTTCTTTTGAGTAGATGCATCACTGTACATACTTTTTCAAGATCTTTAAGTACCCGAATTTCTTTTATTTCGGCCGTTTGGGTTAGACGTTGTGGCTGTAGTAGAGCCTCGTGTATTTGTAACTATGTTGCGAGGCTGTTGCTTTTGCGATATAGTTATTTAAGTTTCTTCACTTTGGTTGTGGCTTTGTACGGAAGCTTGAGTTCACTACTATGTTCATTTATATTTCTCCTTACGGTAGGTTTCAGTAGATTCACACAAAGACATTATTGTTACTACACTCATTCGTAGCCGGAGTAGGCATGTGAGTTAAGAATGGCGTCTTCCAGTTCATGGTACTGAAAAGTTCATTAAATGAGTTCCAGTCCACATGATGGAGGTTGTGAATGGATGTTAACATTTTACTTGATGGTCTAGGTGAATCAACACTCATATCACAAAGCACCGTGTGGTGCTTACATCCTGGTATTGGATTATCAATAAATACATAGGCGAAAGAGATCCCCCATCGTGATT